ACTGCACAATTAACCCCCCACGAGTGATGATGACATACATTACGTACTTGAACGACCGCAAAAAAACCTGTTTGTCCGTTGGTAATTGTGGCGTGTCTTTTTCTGTTCTCTCTTTTCTTTCCCACGGATGTGTTCTCGTTTCCTATCTATATGTAGCTATCCTACACCAGAGTACTCAGCAAAACCAACCCCCAAAACTCACTTGAACCCAACTGAACGACTGCACCATGCAAAGACGATGCTTGCAACCAACACGCCAAACGAAGCCCTCCTACAGAAAGAACCCACACGCCAACCAGCAAAAATATTCCGCCACAATGGTTGGCATTGGACACTGCACGAAGAAGATGACAAACACGTATAGATGGAGAAAGGTGACGCCTAGGAGCCGACCGGGCGACCACGAAGAAGTACGTACGAACCAGGGCGCCCGATCGACCGACCGACCGACCGACCGACCGACTCAACCTTACCCTACCCTACCCTACCCTACCCAATTCGACCCCAAAACCCCAATCCGACCGACCGGCCGACCGACCCAACCCACCGTATTTCAGTATAATACAGAATAGAACGCGCCAGCACTTGATGAGAAGCTCTATTAATTAATAGTTTCGGCCGAGGCTGGGGTACTGCTGCACATTTGTCGTTATATAGTTTTAGTGTGGAGGTTTTTAACCGAGCTCACAACAAGTAAGACTGCCACATGGTACTGTATGCTTATTTTTTTAGGCTCAATTTGTCAACTCCTGGGTTCGCAAGTGGTGGCGGCGCGTTCTGTACCATACTGTACACGAGACTGAAATGAGGTACAAGTAGTTATCGGGCATGGTTCCGTCGAAGAAGAAGAAAGTAAAAAGTTGTGGAATGCGGAATAGGGAGAGGGCGCCGGAGAGGAATGGCCACCCGAACCACAACAACTCTCGACCAATCAGTGGGTGTAAAGCGTAGTAGATGGGAAAGAGCAACAGACCGCAAGAACCACTGGAAAGCTGGCAAGAAGTACACGTACCGCCGCAGTCTAGTATTATAGTCCATGACGTCAAATGATCAGGGGTGTGGGTGCAATCCTGCTCGGCACTCATGTGTGTACGTTGTATATACGCGCATAATAACAACTACCGCGCTAGCTGTAATACAAGCACCCTGGACCCTTCACGCCACCACACACCTATCTAACCTAGATACTCTAGTCTGCTGTGCGTGTATGCATACCTGTTCTTCCCCCTCGGACGCTCTCTTGTTCACCAAATCCTGCAGCAGCGATGACCTCCTTCGCTTTTCCGACATCTTCGTCTCTCCTTGTTCGCTGTACCTCTCTCTCTCTCTCTCTCTCTCTCTCTCTCTCTCTCTCTCTCCCGCTCTCGCTTTCTTCTCTTTCTCTCTCTCTCTCTCTGTCTCTCTTTGCCGCGCGTGGCGTCCCTGTGAGCTTCCACCCAACGAACCCCCCCAACGAACGAAAGATCGAGCACGGATCCGGATCTTGGGAAAAAGTAACGCCCGCCACCCGCCGTTTCGTCCAACATCGACTCATTTCCAGAACAAATGCGAACTGGTGTAGTACTACTGTACACAACAACAAAAGGGGTTCCCGAGACAGCACTCCGAATATAAATGCCTTATTAGCGTACAAGACTATACGCTGGAAGGTTCAGTGACGCCCCCGGAAAACAGACGTGGTCGTCCACACATATATACGGTACCCACCGGGTTGCTGTGGTGGTCGGTGGCGCAAAGTGAAAGTTCTGCTGCTGCCTGCACACACGCACACACACATCAGCAACGGAACAATAATATTCGGAGCACAACAGACGACACACATGAGCAGCAGAAAATATACGGAGTGCATACCAACCAATACTGGACGAGACGAACACACACACGCCAGCGGTGGCAGCCCACCACGCGTCACAAACGGCAAGGGGCAATCACAACCACAAACGTTGAACGTCGTGAGTCGACAGACTAACTACTGACTGCAGTCGGACAACGATGGAGCGCCATGCTTACCAGGAGGAGATAGTTGCGGCCGCGGCCGAAGAGCAGGCAGTGGTGGCGATACACCAACAGAGGCTACAAATGGCCAAGACCTTGCTGAACAAACACAACCCGAGTTGGTTTGCGGACATGGAGGGGCATGGCAAGACTACGACCGATGCGGCACAGGTAGAAGACGTCAAGCACAGCGCGGCTGCTGCGGCTGCGAAGCAAAGAGCGGCTGCCATGGCGCTGTTGAAAGAGCACAACGCAGATTGGTTCGGAGATGACAAGGAGGCGAGGAAACAAAAAAAGTCAATATGTGAGTCGTCATGAAATAATAATTCTGGTGTGCCCTAAGGAGGACCAGTACAGTGCTGCCACAGAGGAGTACGTGCGCCGTTCCTTCATTCCAGTTCGTGTATCCGAGGTCTTCGATGGGCAGGTTGTGGGTGCCCTGCTTTTTCTCGATCACAGCACGCCACGTGAGGTGATATTTGTGTACGATGACCGTACTACTGCTGTAGACCTGAACACATAATTCACGAACGAACGAAAAGGTCCTTGTTGGTCCGCCCGTCCTTAGTCTAGACTACAATCAATGTACACCGATATTTTCTTCAGCAGTACATATGTTTCGCATACGCATGTAGATGACACTGCTGTAGACCAGTCCTCCTGCTGCTCGCAGCTGCTGTCTGTCTGTGCAAGTAAGATGCCTCTTGTGTCTGTTATGGAACGCGCTCACTTGGTTGACATGCTGCTTCGTACTCCACATCACACGCGGTTGAGCAGGGCGTACCCACACGGTTGGTTGTCCAAAAAAAGCCGGTGTCGGTCGGCCCAACCACCTCTATTTTTGAGTCAAAAGAGTCCTACTAAGCATTGACATCTTCAGTCATGCAAAACTCTGTACTTGCTGCTGACAGCAGTGCTTTAGTCCAAAGACAAGAGGGAAACGGCTCAAGAATCCTTCTCTGGAAAATAAAGAATCGTTGCTTTCTGCTAACCACAAGAAGAATAATACTACATGGTACATATTATATCATAGTCTACATCGTGGGAGGATGGATATGTTTAGGGCCGGTCTTAACGAAGGAATCGGTTCTCGATTTCACTTACTTCCCGATTTGATTATACCACAAGATCCAAAGAACTCTCTTGTTGATTGCCTAAAAGTTCTGGAACTAGTGGAATCTTTAGGACTTATAATCGGATCCCCCCTCTCCAAATAAATCGGGAATAAAAAAAAAGGTAAAATTATTGTGTTCGAAAATTCCGATTCTGACCGGATCTATCTCGAACGGTATAGTCTTTCTGTGAGAGTATATGTATACTTTCTAAAAAACAAATAATAGTCACAGCAAGCAGTAGTGCGTGTGTGTGCCGTGCTACTGCAGCGTGCGGTGTGTGTGTGTTCCCATGTCATTATTATTATTATTATTCCGATCGCCCGACCCTTGCCCGACCGGGTCTGTCTCTAAAGCCGATCTCGACCGATCTGTATGTATGTATGTATGGCGCACGTATCGTTGCAAATTGTGGCTCCTCGCCAAGATTCATCCACTTCCTCATGCAGAAGAAGACAACGACTCTCGTCTCGTATTGATAATACAGGCTACTATGTTATATACTAATATTGTAACTACAGAACGCGCCACCACTTACTGCGAACTTTTTTAACAGTTAGTTAAGAACTTGAGAAAAAGAGGGAATCGTCCTCGACAGACGTTGGGGAGTTTCTAACCACGGGCCGAGTCTTTGCTAGATTTTGGGATTAGCAACTGACACGAGTTTAATGTGAAGAAAAACAACAACAACAACAACAACAACCTTTATGAAGGTGGTCTCCACATTGAGACTCAAACAATCCAAAATCTAAGAACTTGGCCATTAGACCCATGTTTGTTTATGGTTTCAAAATGTTGGAAATAATTCTTCAACTGTTGTCAAACATTTGCGCGCGAATATCTGCCAGAGGAACATTTGAGTACCGTTTTTGTGTGCAAAAGTATCTTATCGTGTGGTTTTCTCGGAATGCATCAGAAGTGCGGCGGGAATCGTGTGGTCTATTGCTACCAAACGATTTGTGACAAACCACAAATAAATGCGTCATGGAAACTGAATGTAACGAGCTTGCAAAGGGCTCCCCACAACCCTTGATACATTGAGCTGATGCTGTGCCTGCCAATATGTGGCGATAGCGCTCCGAGCGTGCGAGAAAAAATGCTCACGGTGTCAAAAAGAGGCCAAACCGTGCGTCAGCGCTTCCCAACGGCAAAAAAGTCGGCCGCTTGAGAGGACACGTGAGTACAAACCTATCCAGCTCTCGCCCGGTAGACCACCAATTCATGTTTTTTTGTGTTCTTGGGTGTTTTCTCGATCAACGACTCTCATCCGGTTGCGCGTGGGTTGGCAGTGGCCATGCTCAGTCGGCAGGGAGGCACATCGTTGTGCGCGCAAAGTTGTGGATACAATGTTTTTTCGGTCTATATTCACTTGAATTTAGAGGGCTTGTTCCTCCGTCCCAAAAAAAGACTTTTTCAACGCATCGAGTTCACAGCGACGCGCCTCCCTGCCTGTTGAGTACGTCCACTGCTGAACCACGCACACCCGGATGAGAGCCGTTGATGGAGAAGACACCCAAGAAGACAAAACATAAATCGATGGTCTAGAGGACGAGAGCTGGATAGTTTTGTACTCACGTCTCCTTTCAAGCTGCCGACTTTTTGCCGTTCGGAGACACAAAACCACGTTTTCTCCGTGCCCTCCAAACCACCCCTGTCTGTTTGTTTTTTTGTTTTTTTGTGTACGCTTGTCGAGCTCCCGCCATGCATAAGCCGGCAAATAGTTGACGCGGTGACTCTAGGGTTGTCCGGATCCCTCTGTGAGCTTGCTACGTTGAGTGTGCGCCGCGCAGTGGTTGGTGTTTAGGACGGAAGGGCCGGTCGGCTACTATTCTCGCCGCTCTTGGAAAAGATTTTCGCGACCTGCCCCATTTCAAAATGTTTGGGAAGATTTTGCCGAAGATTTTCTCCCATACAAAGTGAAACAAAATCTTTATCCGCAAATCTTTGAAAAATTCGATATTTTCGCAAAGATTTGGCGACCGTAAACATGGGTCTTATAGGGTTATTATTAACGCAACGTCGAAATCGTTCTTTTTTAAACGGAACGGTTAAAAGAAAACCCGACTTTTTTTTGCTTGTTCTTTTCGTGATGTCATCGCAAAAAGTACGTTTCCTTCCCTGAATAGGGTGTTTGCGGACTGGTTTCGATTTCAGTCTTGAAAGTTCGATGGAGACCATATTTTGACTTGAAAAATACGTTGCAAGTCGCCCCGAGCGCCGAAGACCGCCGGATCTTCAGGAATTTGGACTTTTTCTTTATGCAATTGCCCCCAAAGACCGCAGAAAAGTTGAATTCAGTCTTGCTCATTTTGGTCTTTGTAGGAACAGTTGCTGGTTGGCCGAGCGCCCCGTGACGGAGACGCCGTGGGCCTCATGCGGCAGGTGAAGGGTGAAAAGAGCCGTTTGCGCACACGCACTTGCTCCTTGTGGCGTAGCACCTCACGACACAACAAACGCACGTGGTGGCGAATCCAAAAGGTTCCGTGGCGATCGGCTTCTACAATTGCGTGATCTGATGATGAGTGAGAGTAGTGCGATGTGGCCTGTGCCCGCCGGCAAACAAATGTCGCAAGGAGACACAGCATGCACGGTGTTTACAGCAGCAGCAATCGTTGTTGTTGTGGGTGTTGCCTCATTCTTTTGGCGCAACAGACGAGCCTACTACAGCTAGCAAAAATAGAGCGCACAAATAGCAGATCATCATCTCTGTCTGTCCGGTGGCTCGGTGGCTCATCGTAGCGAGTACATACCTACTACATGCTGTGTTTGGCAGAGAGCTCTGCACGGACGGGCGAAGCAAGCGTGAGGTTCCTCCGTGCAGCATGTTGGAACGTGAGCAGGAAAAAAAGGGTAAACGGTACGATTTCGTGACGTCACATCGCATAAATGGTTGAAAAAATACGAAAGACCAAGACCAAATAGAAATTCGATCTTCGCAAACAGTGTAATACACGCTTTGCTCGGCACACAACAGGTTGACATGGTATTGCTCACCATAGAGCAGCGATAAAAGCGCAATAAGCAGCACCCGGCACAGAGGACAACACACTTAGAAAGATCCCGTCCATCCGGCCTGCTGTTTTCAGTTTTCAGCAACAACAGGCGCACGGCAGAGTGTCGCAACCTGGGTGTTGCTTGCGATTTCTTCAGTTTGCCGGCTCATTTTTCACGGTTGCGGCTCCC